ATTTTCAAAGATTCTAAATTTTTCTAATTTGATATAAGAAATAATTCAATAATGAATCCTTTCAAAGAGAGAGGGACCGATATGATTTTAGAAGCTAATTATGGGCTTAGAGTCGATCGTGAGCTTGGGGGGTTGTTAAATGATCTCGTTGTTGTTGTGGACTATTCTGTCATTAAAAACTTCATCAAGGGACTCGTTGAATTCCATGGAGAGATGTCAAATTCAAAAAGGCAAATTTTAAAGTTTCTTTAATTCTTTTTGTTGGATCCTAGACCATATTTAATTTTGTATAATTTTAGACATTCTAGTCTATTAAGCTTCATAGAATATCATTTTAGCCTATAAATAGGCTTATCTTGCATTCGAATATCAATCAATTATTCAATCAAAATTTATCTATGAGAAATTCTCTCCTTAGTTCTTTCAAGAACTCTCCTTAGAACTTATTCTTGAATTTAACAATTCTTATGGCATTCGTAGTGACTTATCACTACCCTTTTACATATCCGGAGTGTCGTGTCCGTATTTTTCCGAATCCGATTTAGCTTTTCAAGGTTCGAATCAATTTGTCTATGGGTTCTCTAGTTGTCAAGCTAGGTGGGTTAGGATCACCTTAGCCCTTTCTTCCTTGATACTTTTAGGTAGCTACTCCTCTAAAAAAGGTTCTTTAAACTATTCCTAAGACCAATCAAGTTTTCTATCCCGTTTACACCGATAACCGACACTCTCTTCAAGCATAAATACTATCAGTTCAACCTTTCTCATTAAGGAAAAAGAGCACAATTAGCCTCTTTTATATTTCATCTATAAAATGCATTAGATCTTCATCATCCCTATCATTAGAATAGGTTAGCGACTTTTATATCAAAAAATCCACCACATAATGTTTAAACTTCACTAATCCTAATCGAATGCCAACTATAGAAGTACCTACTTCACTCGAACCTTGATTGGGAGACATCAATCCTACCATAGTCCGCAAAGTTTGTTGAATACCCTCAACCATTATCTCTACAATGTGCTACATAGCATAAAAACCAGCCATGACATCGGATGGTATCATAATATCGGGATTTTCTTCTTTCCTAACTCTAGATCTATCATGAGATTATGAAGGTCCGGATGATGCCTCAGCCTTAGCACCTCCTCTATGATCACCTAACCTAGTCCTCACCATAGCAACCTATACGAAACATAGTTTAAATTTAACACATTTCAAAAATGGTAAATTCACGAAGAAAAATCAATATATATCTTATATAATTCTTATTCCCTCTTTTATTAGACTTGTTTATACTCAAGAACAAGGTAGTAATTTTTGGGTTTATAAGAGGAAAACAAGCAAATCAACATGAGTAAACCAAAGCCAAAGTTCATACAAGTCCAAACACACGAAGGATAAAAAAACAACAACATGAACAACCAAATTGAAGAAAGAAGATACACGAGTAAAGGGGTAAACATAGCTTGAAGAGCAATTTGACATGCCTATGTGTATTTAGCATAAAAAGTCACATAGGTAGTAGGGTTAAGCATGGCTTGTGTAGAAAAGTCACTTATGCATATTTTTAGAACAAGAAGACATACGGGCAAAAAGAATAAACATGATTTGCATAAAAATTTTAACACATCTATGTGTGTGTTTGGCACAAAAAGAGACATAGGTAGAAAGAATAAGCACGATTTGTGTTGAAAAATGGACGTGCCTATTCGTGTATTTAGCAGAAGAAGACACACGAGTAGTAGGCATTAGCATGGTTTGGACATCAAAATTGACATGCATGTGTGTCACCACAAGGTTATCATCCAATGAATGAAGAAAAGCCATATGAGCGAGTAGCTAAAAGACACATGATGAATGGTAAATATGACATGGTCGTATGTCCCCATAAAATTATTCAAAAAAGAAAGAAAAGCCATACATGCATTAGCTAATGACATAGGATGAAGAATAAATTTGACACAACCGTGTGTCAAAATTAAGCAAATTATATGAGGGATTATGCGTGATAAAACCCTACTTCTCGTATGTAATTTAAGACTATAAACATATGAGCTAGGGTCTACACTAGTTGATTGATCTATGTAATTCAAGCTAAGAACATGGATTAGAATAGAACCTATGCTCTACAATTATCTTAGATTCTAAAGTCTATTCTTTGATACCAACTTTGTCTTGGCTATGAGAGTGGACCATGACTAGTGTGAGAATTGAGGGAATCTAAGACCCATCTTGACTTAAGCAAGCCTTGAATACTTATACTACAATCAACAAACCAATATCACCTCAAATATCATTTCATTTATAATATTCTTAACTAATATTCATCACATTATAATTCCAACAAAAATCCTAATTTAATGCTTTTCTCCAATCAATATCCATAATCAATTTCTCATACAACATCTATAAGCTATAACTATAGAGCTTCTAAGAATACAATAGGATCAAACATAAGTTCTAAGAGATTGCAAAGAAACAAGCCGCATGGTCAATATGAGGGGTGAGCAATCAACAACTTAGTAAGTAGATATTATATAACATATCTAAAGGATGGAAACGAATTACGGACGATAACCGAAAATTCAAATCAAGATGCCATGTTTATTTCTTCAAAATAAATGCATATCATAAAACTAAATCATATATTATAGCTTAAATGGTTCAAAACCATTTCATATCAAATCATTAAAACACACATACACACACATATACTATATATAACATAATCAAATTACATATCTACGTTTTTATTTATTCATGGAGTAAATATAATGTATCACTAGATGCGAACACCCAAAGATCACACCCCTTGTGACTAGTTTTCATATGTTAGCCGACACATGGGCTAGCACTCTACCTCTCATACTAGTTAGAGCCTTATATCATTGAACTCAAAGGCTATGCCCCCCGGTAGCTAGATTCCACAAGGTGTCAAAAATATTTCAAAAATTGTATATACTTATACATATTTCAAAACTAGTATTTCAAACACAATGCGTGCCCAAAATCAAGTTGATAATACAAATCCATATCAAAAAAACATTTATGAAAATTATAAGAATAATCAAAATAATTGTCTAAAGTAAAATAAAATTTGAATATGTGATTTCATATCAATCATAAATAAAACACTTGTTCAACACATACTCAAATCCCTTAATAAATCATATCCAATCATTTTTTAAATGCTCATGGGGTTCATTCCTGTCTAAGTCCCGATAGATGCATTTAAATTATACTTAAACCAATGATACTTGGTAGAACTATCAAAGGAATTTAAAAATCCATGCTATATGATATCCACTCACAAGTACAATCAAAGAATCGAAAGGAATCAATGTTGCCGTAATGGAATCGTTCACTTCGAAGAATCTTATAACACATGATGATGGAACAACCATCAATATCATATATCAAAGAATAATTCAAAACAATTGAATTATTCTTGAAACAAAAATATAAGTTTATCTATAAGAATAGAAATTGATTGAAAGACTCAAATCGATAACCGTATTTAAATTCTATATAATTGCCCAACAATATCCCGTCATCAATCTCAATTATTCATCATCAATTTCTAATTCTATTCAAATTTCATACATATAATGTTTTCTTAATTTCAATTCAAGCCTTTAAACAATCAATTTTCAATTAAATCATCAATTCTATTCTAATTTACTCAATACTTATTCTATTAATCTCTAATTGCATTTATATAACTTAATTCTTTATTTTTCCTAATTTCTTTTCAATTCAAAACCTAATTTATGGATTTCGCTATTCATCATCTTCAACCTCTCAATTCATCAAATTTACTCCATTCCACTCCAAATTAACTTCATAAATCACTTACCAAAGACAATTAAACATTATTTAAGTAATTATAATCAATTAGAATCACTTAATCCACTTTTTTCCCAAATAGATCTCAACAAACCTAATCTTAATTTAATCAATTTCTCATTCAATCAACAAATCCAATGTAATCTAACTTTAAAATCATTACCAAATATATGCAAACATTCCAATTTAAAGATCAATTGATAAAAAATCTTACCTTTAACAATTGCTCTTCAATCCCAATTTCTATTCCAACTCTTTAAACTTTAATCTATTTAAGCTTCATTTAAATCAATTTGTTTAAGGTTCCTCGAAGTTAATTTTTCAATAAATTAATTTAGAATTTGAAGGAGAGAATTGGAAGAAAATTGGAGAGAAAGTGGCGTGAGAAGGAGAGGATAAGAAGAAAGAAAGAAAGAAAATAAAGGTCAGTAGTTATCCCCTCCTTTTATACCCAACCTTTTTTTTTTTTTTTTGAACTTAAATATTATTTGTAAGTCAGATTATTACAGCTCAAGATTTTAATCGAAACAGATTTCAGATCGATTCTAACAACTATTGAACTAGCTTGACTATCTAGAACTGCTTCTATATTGAGTAAATATGATAATTTCAGGCATCATAACTTTGATTTTGAACTGATAGAGACTCAACTGAAAACTTTATTTACTTTAGGCACTGATTTGTAGTTTACTTTTTTATTTTCTGGAGGAAAAAAGTATAAATAAAAGTAGTTTAGATTTTCCAGTTCGCAAAAACCAGCGTAGAACAAGAAAAAAAGAAAGGAGAGTTATCTTAATGACAACAATGCCTTCTTTTTAGCTAAATTGAAATCCCACTCACGCATTGATTCTAACAAATGGCATTGTCTGCTTCATCGTTACTAAAATCAAGACTTCTCCTCAGAGTTACAGTGACAACCAACACCTTCATTACCTTTTCTCACACCTCTTCCTCTCCATTGATCTCTTACTACCTCAACAAAACCAAACCCAAAGATTTTCACTCACTAACCTTATACACAAGAACAGCAAAAACCCGAAAAACACAGTTGTTGTGTTTCAATTACAACACCTCTGCAAGCAGTAATAGCATTAATAATAATGGTAAAAACTACTTAGAATTGACAGATGAAGAACTAATGAGACAGTGTGAGATGGGCACGTTTAAGGCTTCAGGTCCTGGTGGTCAGCATCGTAATAAGCGTGAGTCTGCTGTCCGTCTCAAGCATCTCCCTACTGGGATTATTGCTCAGGTGACCCCATTCGCCATTAGCTTTATTTGCTTCCTTTTTTTTGCAGTGTTTTGTGGTTAAATTATACAACCCCAAATTTGCATGTGACATGTTTGTTGTTTTGTCTTAATGGTTTTATTTGTCTTATTGTTTTTTACTATATGTAGGCTGTTGAGGACCGATCACAGCATATGAATCGCGCTTCAGCATTGAAACGCCTACGCACTCTATTAGCTATCAAAGGTAGAGACTTTTTGGTTCTTTTAATGCATTTTTTTTGGCTATGTGGGTGAAGATGGACAAAAGAGCATGTATTGTTTTGCGTTGAGTTATTTTATTAATTAATTTTTTTTTTCCAGTTAGGAACAGTGTGGATGTTGATGCATATACACCTCCACTAGAGCTACTTCAGATTCTGCCTCTTAAATCAACAATTAGAGGGTCGGATTGTGGCCCGCAAATTGGACCCAAGAATCCTAAATTTATCTTGGTAACGGAGCTGTTTTTTCTTTGAAAAATTACATGTATTTTTGTTGACTTTGAAGGAATATAGAGTGAACTCATTGCAAATTTTATTCGATAATGTAGGGAATGCAAGCATTGCTGGATCTAATCTTTGCTGTTGAAGGTTCTATATCAGAAGCGGCTAAATTACTAGGGTACTTAATGATGAGCTTTGTTATCCTACCATTCCTTTCATTTTTATTTTTTAAAGGAAGTTATTAAACCTTCTAGTCTCAGCTCATGCCTGGTTTTTTGGTTCTATGTTTTTGTTTGCTTGCTGGCATGCCTGGTGATTAAACTTATCAAACATGAGAAGCCCTAAAAAATTGCAACTTTAATTATCTTGCAATGCCAGCGTATTGGCTCTAGACAGTAGACACCATGATGTATTTTCCCGCAGATTTTTATTTTTTTGTTTATCGGAGCTGCAGCAATTGAGAAGTATTTACTTTCAGTTCTAGACACTGTCATTTGTTTAATAAATGTACAATGGCCTATGCTACTATTCCCTTTTTAACTTTCATTTATCAAATTATACACTGTAGTTTTTCTTGATTAGAGAAGTTAGTGCAAGTAAAATTAATTCTTGATTACATTTGATGGCTGACTGGCTTTGAACATCCTTCTCTAATGATAGTCTGTGTATAATGTTGCAGGTTAAGCACAGGGGCACTATCACGTTTGGTACTATCAGATGATTCTCTTCGAATGGCAGTGAATGACCTGAGGAATTTGAAGGTGAGATTACTAATAATTATTGATAGAGTTGGTGCAATTGGTAGAATACTAGGTCATAGAGATTACATTTTGGAGCAGAAGAAATGGATAAATCTTAATTACGAATGGGTCAGGCTAGCTCCTAGATGAGAATGGATTGTTCCCAGCAAGCAAGTTTAAACACTTGCCTTTGCTTTGTTCAAGGAATTCATGTCTTTGTAGTAACTTGTGTTAAACTGTTTATTCTGAGCTTATAGAGATGTATCCTTTTGATGAGCGAACAAACTGATAACCTCCATCTTTGAGTTTATTAAAGATTTGGCTGCTTCACCTTGTTTTAGCGTAATACAATCTGTTAACAAGCTTCCACCTTTCCTTCTAACTCGAATTTTCTTATCAGCTCATACACAGTAGAGCTTTATATTTCAGACGTGTTGTACTTAATGGAGACAGGAATGGATTTATATTTCAGACGTATTGTACTTAATGGAGACAGGAATGGAACTAAGACATGCGTAACTTGATTACAGAATCTTTCGGCCTCCACACATAATTTATATCTGTAATATCAGCTTAGATTTTTTGGTTTACATGATACCTATCAAAATAAAAAACAAAATGAAGGTAGAGCAAGGAAGAATGACATATAAAAATGATTTATTGACAGCATTACTTGAATGTGGCATTATGAAACTTTACTAAGAACTTCCTCTTTCAATGCCTCACATTGTATGGGAACTAGGACATGCATAACTTGATTACAAAAACCTTCTGCCTCCACAGATAACTTGATATCTAGTACCAGTTTAGAATTTCGGTTTAAATCGTCCCAATCAAAATAAAAATAAAATGAAGCAGTGCAAAGGAGAATGACCTATACAAATGGCATGAAGTAAACTTTCCTGAGAACCTTCTCTTCCATGCCTCGGCTCATCGAGTTGATATGATGAGCTGGATCACTTGGTGATATTGATTAAATTATGATTGATCAGGATACGTAGCAGTAAACTAGACATGGGTTGCTGTGGACTTTATCGAAAAGTTGGAACTAAGTCAAATTTGAGAAGCGTAGTACCTGTTATGTGTTACAGCAAGAACAGGAAGGTGCATGCCCAAGAATTGGTAGTCCTCTCTATAGCCACCACATCAAAAATACCAGACCCTTACAGCATCCCATGAAAACTGAGGGTTGAATTCAATTTCCCACCACCTTGAAACTAATGTGTAGGGGTGATTGTCAAACACTCGTAATTGTTGGTTTTGTAAATATTTTGTGCAAGTGCATCTCTCAACATTGCCAAGGCTGAAGGGGATCGTATTTTTAACTTGCTTCTAATCCACTCTAGGCAGAAAATTGTAGTTTTGTGTTATAATTCTTCAAGTCTGTCATGCTGGAGTCTAAACAGACCTTGCATTCTTCCTGTCTCATTAAGCTGGTGGTTTGTATCACTAGTAGTTAGCTAGCTGCATCCCATCTCACCTTGAAATATTAATCTGGATTTTCTACACAAGCAGAAGAAATTATATATTGAGTAATTAAAATGTTCTTTTCTCCTCATCTTGGACCAAAAACGATATAGGTTATATTTCTCTACTGCATGCTACTTCTAGACAAGTTGTTCTGTTATAATAAAAAATCTTCTTATCGTGGCTATTTCCAGCAGCTTCTGAAAATCTTCTGTTCATGCTTTCTCCATGTCTGCTTTACATCTGTATGCATCATTATGATGAATGCTATTTGATACCAACCCTCTGAAGAAGATTTTGTTTCTCTTTCCCTCTGAATGAGATCAGTTAAAGGATGTAAAATACAAAAGCTGAAAATGGTTGATTCTTCACTTTTTGACGTCGGTAGGAATTTGTTTGAGCAGAATAGGAAAAAAAAAATTATATTAATTTGTTGAATTTAATCCCCTGGTGTGCAACCATTATATTTTATGTAGTTTGAGCTCAATTTTTTCAGTATTTATCTACAATGAGATTTGAATAAAAAATGTGACCTTTTAATGGGACTTTTCCAGGGTTTAAAGCCACTAAGGTAGGGCTTTCCGGAGGGTACTTACATTCAGGTATAATAATTTCTTGATTTCTTGTGTTTTTAGAGTAATGGCTGTTTTGTTTACAATGACTATGCACAGATTGTTGTTAATTAGAATAGTACAGCAGTTTGCAAGTCATGACATCACATGGTGACAGAAAAATATACAGATGAACCAGAGGAGCCACTCATTCATATGCATTATTGTGATGCTTTTTTAGTGATTAATTTCTCAGATTTATCCAGATCTTTGAATTGTTCTTTGATGACATTATCAACATGCTGTCTGGGGGACTTGTTCAGTGGAGTCGCACTTAAGTACAAAACTAAGAGTTTTGGACTTGTTGTCTTGTACTGGTTTGGAGTCACTTTTGGGTGTCTAGAGTAAAACATGGGAATAGATTGGACAGGAATTATTTTTTTGCTTTAGTTGATTGGCTTTTCTTCAAAATGTTTGGTTCAACCATTGTTTTGCCTTTGGTTTTCAAGAATTCACCAGTCCTTGAAGTGAAATGATGTGTGTAACGTGGAGTGATTATAATTTTTGCATCTCTTTTGCCTGATGAATTTTTTATGTTTTGCTGGAGCTAGCAAAGCAGAAGTGGAGGAGGATAGAATGAAAACAACAGAAAGGACAATGAGTTAAGAAAAACTTCACACAGATTAAGTCCCATTGCCTATCTGATGGTAATTCAACTAGTTTTTGCTGCAGGTTAGAGAGTATGCTAATCATGTTGGATGGTGTATAGCTTGCAAATGTTTTTATTGGAATACATTTTTATCATGGGGAAGTCTCGGCATTATGATCTTTGAATTTGAATATAATAATAAACATTGATCAGTACATTCAAATTTCAAGGTACAATAGGCCTCCATGTCATCCCCCAACATGCACGCTGCCGCCACCACCACCACCACCACCATCACCACCACTTTCGGTTACTAGACTATCCATTTTGTTTGAGGAATGGAATGAGCAATCATGAGTATGTCTATCCAATTTCAGGGATGAACATGGCAGTGTGCATACCTTGCATGTGCTCGTGGAGGTGTCATGCATGGATACTGTGATTGGACAATTTCTACAATCATAATTGTCCATAGCAATTCTCATTTTGTTATATGTAAGCTTAGAATATGGTTATTTCTGCTGTTGTTAATATTAAACATATTGAACCTGTACCATGGGGGTCAGGATTGGTCTATTATTATTTGCAGTGTATCTTGTACTAGCAGCTAGCCTTGAAATGTATTCTCACAAGTTGGCTTTGACCCCAGAAAATATCCAACTTGAATTGGAGAATATATACAAGAAAGAATCGTTTCATTCCCAAATGCAATCTGTCAATTCACCTTGCGATGAAGGTTTTCAGAATATAGAAATGTATGATATTAGTTGATTTGATGGAATATGAATGTAAGAAAAGTTCTGTTAGAGATTTTATTCAATTATTTATCCAAACAATTCAATCTCTCTAAATCAGCCAATAGCGAGAGGATTACCAGACTAGGGAGTAGGCTCAGTTATCCTTCCAGCTTGACATGTGTCGAATAATGAGATTTGTTTTGTTTTTTTTGTGATGGTTTACTATTCTGTCTCCTTTTCTCTTTGTTCATTGGGAGTCTTGCCTATTACAGCTAAGGATAACTTTCTTCCAATTTAAATTCCCATCCCACTTCTCACATAATTGGAAATCCAGAACTCCAAATGGAATCTCAAGTTTTAACTATTGGGGTAGTCCCTAAGAGACTATTAGCTGGTTTTAGCCATGGCTGAAACATGTTAAGCAGTGAATAAATATGACGAGCTATTTCACTCCCTGATATCTTACAGGGGTTATGTTTTGCCGTAGGAGTGGCAACTAAACGGAAATTGAAAGTTGCATAATCCATGAATGAAGAACCTGTGGATGTGAAAAGAGAGAGAGAGTCAGAACCAAAAGCAAAAACTTAAAAACAGGGAGAGAAGATATCCAAGGTCAAAACTGCGCATCATATTTTGATGTTGCCAATAGGAAGAAAGTTTGATGCAGGAGAATCCTATTCCAAAGGAATGAGGTTCTTTCTCCCACCACTACGAAAAAAAGGCCTTTTTGCCCGTTGACCCTTTAAACATGGAGTAGTTTACTTGTTTATATCCACACTCTCAAAAGTTAAAAAGAATGGAAAGAAAGCCTTGTAAAGCACTCTTTGTTTCGGATTTCAAATTCACAACGATCAATTTCACCATTAGAAAAAGCGAAATGTTAATCAACAATAGTGACTGACTGATTTGATTTGAGCATGAGAGAGAGAGAGAGAGAGAATCCAAGGCCTTTAATGGGATACCCAATTACCACATTTTCCTGTTCCCTTCCATATCATTAGATCTTTTATCAGAGTCAAACAGGGGGCCGCCATTACATATTCTCTTAAAGTTACGAGAAACTAAGATTTATTCAATTCTATTTGTACTTGTATGTTTCTCTTGTCCATTACAAATCATGCACATGTTCATCACTTTCATTGTTCAACTAGTAGGACCCTTCTTAAGAGATATCTGATCAGATCCATAGACCAAAGCAATATAAGAAAATCCCCAAGCTCTTAAGATGCTTTTGCTTTAATCACTTGGTGCACCAAATATTAGCCAAAAGGATAAATTTCATGATAGATTTGGAAGAATTTGTTCCTGTTGAGTTATGCTTGTGAACTACTTGGTACCCTACAGAAATATAATAGTAACAAAGCATGCAAACTATGGCTTAAATTCCTTAGGAGAATACATTGGCCCCGTATGGTCTTCTTTTTTTTTTTTTTTGGAAGACTTTTTAAAGGCATGCACTTGGCTTGTTTTAAAATCCAGATTTGATTCCGCCACTGCCTAATTCTTCAACTTCCCTTCCCCCAGCATCCCTTTTATAAATGCTTTCTTCTAGTGAAACATGTCTACACAATTTCTTACAAATCCAAAGAAAGAGAAAGAAGAAAATGGGGGTGGACATACAAGGCAAGCTCCGACTAGCTCTTGGCGCAGTGAAGGATCAGGTATCAATTGGGAAAGCCATGATCTACAGTAATCATGAAGGGAAAGATTTTTCCAGCATAGAAGTTGCAGTTGTACGTGCAACTGGCCATGATAGTGGCCCCATTGACGACAAACACATGCATGAGATCCTCTTCTTGGTCTCTAACTCTGCAGGATCTATCCATTTTCTTGCTGAGCGGATTTCTCGCCGCCTTGGCAAGACCAGAGACAACCTGGTTGCCCTCAAGACACTCTCTCTCATTCACCGGCTTCTTCGTGGAGGCAATCGATGCTTCGAACAACAGCTGCGAAGTGCGCATGCTTCAGGCCATCTCCAAATGAGTACTCGCTGCTTTCTGAGGAATATTTCAGATCCTTCGGTAAGGTTCATACACAAGTATGCAGCTTATCTAGAGGAAAGAGTAGGGTGGGTCATCAATCAAGCAGGGAAGCTCGAACCTGTTATGTCCCAGGGTGATCTGGAATTTCGATGCTATGATGAAAAGTCCATTGATATGGTGTTCAGGAAATTGCCAAAATGTCAAGTGTTTGTAGATAGAGTCTTAGATTGTTCCCCATTCAATATTTTGCCTTCAGATAATCTTGCTCAAGCAGCTATGAGCAACACCTTGAAAGAGAGCTTCCAAGTTTACGAGACATATTGTGAAGGTGTAGCAGCTCTTGTTAATATGTTCTTTGATTTAACAAGGCCTGCTAGAGCCTTGGCCTGTCAAATACTTAAGAGGGCTTCTCAGCAGAGCCAGGAGCTTCATGGTTTGTATGAGAATTGCAAACCAATTATCGAAAACAAGAACTTGGACTATCCAGTGGTACAAATCATCACCATGGATCATGTTATGGCATTGGAGCAGTTTTCAACGTATATCGCAACTTCGAATAGCTCATCAATACTGAGCAAGAATGGTTCAACACCTCCTCCCATATTGGATTCCATAACAAAGTCCACCAAGTTGCAAGCAGCCATAGAAGGTGATGAAAAGGATGCAGGTAATTTTAGCTGCTCATCAACTTTATTCTCTTGCACACTGGAGACTAAAATAAGCAAGGTGTGGGTGGTTTTTGAAGATTAATAATCATGATAATTTAAATGCCCCTTTGCTGGTGGTATGGCCAGTGATGATCTTTCTGCCCCTTTTACAAGAAAACCTTTCAAAAGTATGAAATTGTGAATAAGAATACATCAGAGAATGAACGTGGTAGGCCTTGTACTGTAAACCCTGTTACAAGAGAACCTTTCAAAAGTGTGAGTTAGCTTGGATCAAGAAATCCATTGTTTGTAATTTTGGACTCATGGTGTTGTTGATTCTTGATATTGGATCTTTAATGGGAGTCAGTTGTTTGTTATTGCAAAGACGAAATTTGGTGAGCAGATGATGTAACCAAAACAACATATGCATGACATCATCTTGGCTCTGAGCGATTGACTCCTAATCAGTTAAAGTAAGATCATTAGATGAAAACTGCTAGTGATCTGATGTACCTTACTTTACCTCTCCCTTAGGCTCCATCTCTTCATCCCATTCAACTTTGGTAATTCAGTACAAACAAACTATCAAATTGTGAAGGAATTTTCCCTTGCTATACCAATATTTTCCATCACTATTAATTTTTAGTGATAGATTTGTGACTAAATTATTCCACAGACTGAAATGATCGTCGCTTTTTTAAGCGACGAAAAATATTAGCCGTCGCTATTTTGAAGTATTTATGTCGCTAAATCAAAGTAAACAATCATTTTTAAGTCTTAAATCTCTTGCAAAATAGTGGCTATTATCCCATAGTTAGTAATGGATTTACATTGCTAATTACAATTAGTATTTTTTCTTATAAATCTGTTGCTATTTTCATCGCTATTTAGTGACCATTTCAATATCTCGTTGCTAATATCTATCGCAAATGATTTATTTTTTGTCACTAATTTGGTCGTTGATCAATCGCTAAATAAAGGATTTTTTTTTATAAATTAATAAGTATTTAATGTTAATGGCAGTAGCAAATAACTAAAAATAACATCTTATGATGACACAAAATATTATTTAATAAAAGTAAAATAATATAAGTTCAAATCAAATAAATATATAATTATGTTAAGATATACTAAAACATTAAAAAACTAAAAAAAAAAAACCCTAGTTCTCATCATTATCATCTCCTCCGTCATCTTTCAGCCTACCGATATCGAGAGGAAAGGGGCGACTCTTGGGTAATGGGGGTTTAGCATAAGGAACGCGAGTGTGCTACAACTCCCATAACGCCATCTGCATCGTCTCCATCTAATTGTGTATATGCTGGAATTTATCCTCTTGCTCTTGGAACCGTCGAGCATAGTTGTAATAACCTAAAAAAAAAAAGATCGGTATAAAAAGTGCGATAGTTGTCCCTTTTTTTTAGAATTTTCTCTCCTTTCCCTCTTCACGCCACTTTCTCCGTAAATTTCCTCCCGATTCTCTCTTCATATCCTAAGCTAAATAATTATTAAATTATCTTAGGAAGATCATAAACAAGTAGATTTAAGTGGAGCTTAACTAGATTGGTGCTTGGGAAGCTTGGAGAGCTAGGATTGATTTGAGAGTCGAAGAGCATAGTGTCAAAGGTAAGATTTTTGATCCATTAATCTTTGAATTGAAATGCTCATATGTGGCTAATGATGATATTAGAATGCAATTGCTTTGGATTGTGATTTTCTTGAGGAATTGATTAGATTAATATTAGGTTTTTGAGATCCATTTGGGGAAAGGTGATTCTAAGTGATTATAATTACTCAAATGATATTTACTTATCTTAGGTAAGTGAATTATGAAGTTAAATATGAGTAGAATTAAGTAAAATTGAGTAATTAAAAGATTGAATATGATGATTAGTGAAAAATCTAAAATATAGGTTTTAATTAAAAAGAATTAAGAAAAATGAGGAATTAAACTATATAAACGCAATTAAAGGTAAATGGAATGAGTATTGAATGGATTAGGATGAACTTTATTACATAATTAAAAGTTGATTGTTTAAGGTTTAAATTGAAAATTTATAATCGAATTAAGAATTAATGATGGGATTTAGTTAAGCATTTGTTTAGAATTGTTATAGATATCATATAGTCTAGTTAAGGTTATCGGTTCGAGGTCATTCCCATCAATTTTGTTTTTGTTGAAAATCTTGTACTTTCAATTCTAGAATAATTCATTGTTTAAATTATTCTTTGGTATATGATATTATTGGCTATCCATCATTATGTGTTATTAGATTTTTTGGAGCGAGCGACTCCATCTCAACCATTTAACTTCCATTCGATTCTTTGTTATATCGTGAGTGGATATTATATAACCTATTATGTTTCAAATTTCTTAATAATCCCGTTATGCATCTTTGATTTAAGTATGATTTAAAAGCATTCCATTAGAACTTAGATGAGAATGGACTCTTTGAATATTTGAAATGATTTCGTATAAAAAATGATATGATATGAATATGTGTTTGAGTAATTGTGATCAATTTGATATGTGATTTCAATTTACATATGAATGAGTTATAAATTGTTATTTTAATCATCTCGTATATTTTCTATGAATGCTTATTTGATATATCAAGTTAATTTTGAGCATCCATCATGTTTGAAATGCTGATTTGAAATAATTATAAGTATATTCGAGATTCAAAAATATTTTTGAGACCCTAGGGAACTTAGCTATGAGGGGGTGGGGGTGTAGCCTTTGAACTCAATGATACGAGGCTCTAGCTAGCAAGAGAGGTATATTGCTAGTCCGTGTGTCGATCAACATATAAAAACCTAGTCATGGGGGTGTGATCTTTGGGTGTCGTACTCAATGATATGTTATTTACCCCATGGGTGTAAAAAACCTATGTATGTGATTTCGTATGATTACAATACATGTATGTATAAAGGTTTCAACAATTTGATAAGGAATGGCTTTGAACCATTTAAATTTATGATGTACGATTCAGTTTTATAATGTGTATTGTTTTGGAAAACTAGCATTGTATTTTGAGATGAATTTGAAAGTATCGTCCTTGGTTTGTTTTTCACTCTTAGTATGTTATACAATGTCTACTCATTAAGCTATTGATTGCTTGCCCTTTATTATTTTAGTTTTGTAGAATATTAAGGGGTTGCCTATTGCTTCCTTTCGCTCGTTGCCTTGAAGTGGACACATTAACCATGTGGCTTATCTATTTTCTTATAATTTTCTAGAACCTATGTTTGTTTTAAATGTATTCTTAGAAGTTATGTAGTTATAGCTTGTGGATATTGTATTAGAAATTGATTATGAATATTGATTGAGAAATACAAGGATTGCATTACATTATGATTTGTGTTGAAAATATAATATGATGAATGTTAGTTAAGATTATTGTGAAATGGAACCATATTTGAGGTGATAATGAATTGAGGATTTTAGATTAGTATTTGAGGCTTGCTTGGGTTGAGTTGGGCCTCATGGTTCCCTCGATTCTTGCACCAATCATGGCCTACTCCTAAGGTCATGACATGAGTTAGTATCGAGCTTAGGCTTTAGAGTATAGGATAATTGCATAGCATAGGTTCTATTCTAATCCATATTTCTATCTTGAATTCCATGGATCAATCAATTAGTATCTCGCCTTAGTTTTTATGTTTATAGTCTTAAATTACGTACGAGAAGTAAGGTTTTATTTTATAAAAATCACTCACATGGTTTTCTTAATTTTGACACACGATCGTGTCAATTTTTTTTTCAACCGAGTGTCTCTTAGCTACCGTCCGTGTGGCATTTCTTTCTTCTTTGAACAATTTTATGGTGACACACGATCATGTCACTTTTGCCTTTTAAACCGTGTCAATTACTACTACTTGTGTGCCTTTTTTTCCCTTCCTTGGATGACAATTTTATTGGTGAGACACGAGCATGTCTAATTTATTGCACAAACTATGCATTTTTGTTTTACTCGTGTCTCTCCTTGTGGTTAAAAAATGTATGGCCGTCACTTTCTTGCATAAGCCATGTCTACCCCTACTACTTGTATGACGTCTTGAGCTAGAAACACGCGCAGTGCATGTCAAATTGTTCTTCAAGTCGTGTTTAATTCTTTTGCCCATGTGCCTCCTTCTTCAATTTGGTTTTTCATATTTATTTTGTTTTGACCCTTGTGCATTTGGACTTGTATGTGCTTTAATTTGGGTTTACTCATTTGGATTTGTTAAGAAGAACCTTAAATTATTATTATTCTTAAGTATAAGCAAGCCTTATGAAAGAGAGAACAAAGATTATATGAATTATGTATTGATTATTTACCTTTTTGAATTGTGCTAAATCTGAATATGTTCATATAAGCTATTATGGTGAGGACTATATCGAGTGATCATAGAGGAGGTGTTGAGGCTAAGGCATCATCCGGACCTTCACAGCTTCATGATAGGTCTAGTGTCGTGAAAGAAATAGATTCCAACATGATGATGCCACTCGATGTCATGATTGAGTTTCATGCTATACATCATATTATAAAAACAATGAATGAGGGTATTTAGCAAACCTTTTAGGCTAGGGTAAGATTAGTGTCTATTAATTAAGGATTGGGTGAAACAGTACAACTATAGTTGGCACCCGATTAGGGATTAATGGGGTTAGACCCTTATGTGGCGTATTTCTTAAAATTGAAGCTACCAATTTATTCAAGTGATAAGGATGATAAGGACCTCATACATTTCATTGATGAGATAAAGAAGAGGCTAGTTATACTTTGATGTCCCGAGGAGAGAAAGGTTGAACTGGTAGCATTCATGTTTGAAGAAAGTGCTAGTGATTGGTATAAATGGGATGGAAAACATGATTGATCTTCGAGATAATTGGAGAAAGATTTACTAAAGGAGTAATTACTTAAAAGTATCAAAAAGAAAGGGCTAGGGAGTTTAAGAGGCTAGTGGAAACTTCTAACATGACCGTAACAGAGTATGAGATGAGGTTTGTAAAGCTAAGTCGATATGCTCTAAAAATAATAACGACCGAAGTAAAAAAGAGTGAAAAGTTCTTCACAGCTTGTATTTCCTCAAAGGTTTTAGAGCTATTTTGAAGTATTT